GTCATAGGCGGATCTCCTTTCAAGGTCAGGTGATACCTTTCTGGTTGATCCTACTAATGATCATGCAATGAGTGTTCAACTCATTTGTGAAATCGATGAGGCTAAGACAGGCCAAAGATCAACAGAACGGGATCTTTACATACATTCTTTTCCAATTTTCGATCTTTCGAACGAGAACTCATCGTGATGGGTAGGTGTATCACACCGGCAAGCTCGCCCGCCTCTGTTTAGTCTTTCATGGATGAAAAAAATACATTCCCTTGTCGGTTAACGCAGACTTGGATACCTATTCTGATGCGGAGGGAAGGAAAAGAAAATTCACTTATCTCTTATCCGCGGCAATCAAATCTGTTGGCAATCAAGGCTGCTTTCATATAGGTTTTTTGTTTGTAAGCTAGATATTCAACAGCTATGGCATATCTGGCCTCTATCAATTTCTTTTTCCTGGCTTGCTGTCCTTCCTTTTTCCAGCTTACTTTACTAATGCTGAAAGAACTGGCTGATGCTCTTTGTGCTAATTTACCGTACTATGAGTGAGCTTGCTCGTTCGTCTTTATTGATTGCATACTGTCTTGCTCCTCGCATACCGCCGTACTCTAAGTGTACCGATTCCCACCTGGCTCTCATCAAGCTGTCTTCCAAGGTCGGTCGAAACTATTCCTATCGCTTACCCATTTCCCAACGACCGAGTGAGCAGCTGTTCTTGAATCAGTTTTAGGTATTCAAAGTAGTGGAGGAGGATCAGCAAACTCAAAGTCTGGCTGTGCGAGAGGCCAATATGACTATCTATATCAGTTCTTAGCCTTAGTCATCTATTCGATCAATGCGGCCTGCCAAACTTCGAATAATAGATAATGCGGCTATCCTAGCCCTCAAGCCGGAACGGATTCAATACCATGGGATATTCCGAGACCGACAAGATCGATTGCGAGTTAGGACTTCTTCCTTATGGGCATTCTATCCAAGTCCACTAGAAAGGTATTCGTGAAAAAGAGCAGGTTAAGACATATCTTCTCGCTTTAGCTCTTCGCTCTTTGCCAGACACTTACTAAACTGCTCCGCTGCAGGTGCGTATGAATATTCATAGTGATACGTAAATCTTTCCTAAAGCCTGGCTTTGAGCCTTCCTTGAATGTGGCACTGAACCCTGGTTACTTTCGGTTGTGTATGGTAGTCCCAATGCAAGTCTTCGTAATTTTCTGTGGCAGGATTTGGCTAGCAATAGTATTGATCTTTCTGATCCCTGGCTTGCTGTAAGAGACTTTCACTCTGTCACCTCTTCTACGGAAGTCAGTTCAAACAGCCGAATCTCTAATAGACGTAGTGCTGGTTTTGTTGAATGGATTTTTGATCATGGTTTGATTGACATGGGGTATTATGGCTCTAAATTCACTTGGAGTAGGGGGTAACACTCTGAGTGCTGCTAGACTTGACCGGGTTCTTTGCAATCCGGCTTGGAGAGAAATGTTTGAGAGTGCCTCTGTGTCTCACCTCCCTAAGCATCAGTCTGATCATTGTCCTTTATTGGTCAGATTGGAGAACAGAAATACTACAAATTTCCGTCCTCAGTTCATATTTCAATTGGAATCCCTGAGGAATGGCAGTTGAGGTGATAAGCGTCGTAATGAGAAAGAGAAAGAAACGAGTCAAAAAGAAAAGGGTCTGTTCAATAGTCGTTCCCCGTCTCCATGTCAGTTGGGATTGAGTCATTGTGCGAGAAGGAAACATTACACGTTTCATTTTCACACAATAACAAAATGATCTCCTCCTGACAACTCGCCTTGACCGCAGGGTCTTGCCCTGCTGATGGGTGGCGCTGATCGTGTTCAAACCAAAAGAATATGTATCCCTACAGATTACGTAGGAGACTTAGATATGAATGGGATGTGACTCCCAGACCACCTAAGATGCCCACTGTGGATCTGAAAGTGCTAAAGTCACAACTCTCGCACTCCTCAGACTGAGGTTAACAGCCTCACATCAGAGCTTTCGCTCTCGACGCCTTTCCTTAATTGAGTCGATCAAGATGAAAGAAAGATAGTGATTCGTTGATGTTAATGAAAGAAATGATTGGTTTCACTTTCACGACATGGAGTTGAACCATGATCGACCGTGATCGTGAGAATTGCCTAGAGCTTCTTGGCCCACGTGTCCCGAACGAACTCAATCGCCCAGTATATGTGGCACAGAGGCTACTCCACTAGACTATAGAATCTTGATGATATCTATCTAATTACATCCGGCGTATGATTCACACTCTTTCTGGGAGTGCAGGGAACAGTACTTCCACTAGTTCCTTTGAGTTCTTATCTGATGATGATCAGTCTGATCCCAATATCCTGCCTTCCAAGACTTGGGTTTTCAACTTTCAAGCAGTCAATCAAGCAGCACTGGCCGCTATTCCATAGATGGCATAGAGCTCTTACACAGCGCCTAATAGGAAGACTTCACTAGAAAGGTTTGGTTTCCCCTGTAGTTTGGTACAGTGCTTTCATCTTTCTCTCTTTCTCTGTGAAGATAGACTGCTGTTTATTGCTTTGCGTGTCAAGTGCGAGATTGGTATCGAGGAATTGCGTATAAAAGGTTGTCTATCTGAGACTATCTATCTAGTACGATCGATCAAGTCATTCAGTACAGTATCTTCGCTAGGTGTTTATGGAATTCTTTTAGCAGGTCGGTCTAGGTAGTTGATATTGCTCCTGAGAAATGAGTTCTTTCCAGTTTCCTTTGTGCATCTTTCTCCCATGCTTTCCGTTGGTCAACAACCAACAAAAACTCACTAGAATTCTGAACTACTCGTACAGTAAGGACTCTCTTTCTGTCTGGAGGGAATCATTTGTTGTCAATCATATAAAGACGGTAAACGACGTCTTGGAGTACAATAAAAAACTTGGAGTTCCGATCTCATTCTCATATAGTTGGATTCGCGGTGTGAAAATAGAACCCTCAGAAACTGGAGATCGGAACAAAGAAAAATGTGGACACTCTCCGCGCCTGGGCGGAGGGGAACCTTAGCCCTTATCATCTAATTATAAACCGGCGTGTGCTGCTGGATGCTTCTGATCAATAGAACAAGAAGAGGAGTCAGCCAAAAAGAAAGACCACCAAAAGTAACGACCACCAAGATACGCATAGTAATTCGATCTTTTTATCACCCATTTCTCGAAAACCTTTTTTGGGGGCTTCCGCCTTACACACGGAAGATTGGATTGCCTGAATCACGAGTCTTATATACTGTGTTACGATCACCTCATATTGATAAAAAGTCCAGAGAACAATTTGAAATGAAAATAAAGAAACAATTTCTGGTCATAAAAACAGAAACGCATGAATTGCGCAAGAAGTTCTTTCGGTTAAAACGCCGTGCGACTCGGAGGACATAAGACTTCTTGGTCAAGCCAAAAAGATTGCCGACTGGATGCTCCTACCCCACCATGCCTGGCCCTTTACCTTTTTCACTTAACAACAACAAATAAACTCTTAAAAAAAAAGATATTTGTTTGTGCTAATATAAAAGAAGAAAGAGGAGGTATGAAGCGTGGGAAAGAATGAAAGAAGTGTATGATACAACAGATAACCTTAAGGAGTGGCGGCAACACTGAAGATTGATCAACGCGAGTGAACTGTGCTTAGACGCTTCGTAAAACCGCACCGATCTACGAGAGGAGCTGATAGATGAGTAGGCTTTCCCTTTCGATTCACGGAATGTGATCTGGGACACGATGGGAGTTTGCGTGTCTCGGTAGGAAAGAGATCACCGGAGTATAGCACAAGATCGCCTTTTCTTGCTGCCATGGGGTCGACCTGTGAACAAGGTAAACCCAATGGGAACCAAAAACCGGGGGGTACCGCATTGGGCAGAAGACGATCCAAAAAGCGAAGGCTCACCCAGCTGAAGGAAAGAGCTTTGGAAGCTTACCTTATTATTAAAAGGGGAAAGGGTTCCAAACCTATCTTACTAATAAGAAGAAAGGAGGTGAGATAGGCAAGAGGTAGCTTGCTTCCAAGCCGGCCCGGCCGCGAGGAATCAAGAGATCTTTGCCGGTGCTGACTTGGATCTCGGGTGACGGAATAAGGCGGCCAGAAGCGACGAGCAGTCGCGGTCGAAGCTTGGCTCTAGGCGGTAGGCTAGCAGTAAGCTTGACTACAGCGAAGCGCTTACCAAGCGCGAAGGAAAGGGCCTTCGCCACTTGAGCCGTATGCGGGGGAACTCGCACGTGCGGTTCTTAGGGGGGGAAAGCTAGTAGGAGCCATCCCATCCCAATAGCGTATATTTGGAGCTCAATATGAAATCCTATTTTCTTGCAAGACCCGTTCGGATAAGGGAAAACTCCAGAGATTGCTTCGAAGTAAGATCCTTGCGTTGACCCTTTCCTGAACCAGAACCGGGGGAGGATGAGAGGAAAAGGGGATCAAAATGTCCCATCAATAAAGTGAGGGCTTTCCATTCTTCCTTCCCCCTTTTTTAATATTTGAAAGAAATAAGCCCCGCGGGCCCCTCTCTGATAAGGAAGGAAAGAAAGTAGAGGCTATGGAATTGGATCGAACGAGAAGGATGGGATTGGGTTCAGTTAAGGTAAGCTAAAGGGTTAAAGCCTAATTCCTATCGAGCTTGCATCTTAGTACGCAAAGTCTTTAGCAAGAAAAGGGGAATCCCGAGAGAAAGGGAGTTTCCGTTCTCCTAGAGGCGAAGGCGGTCTAACTAGAATATCTAAGGAAATGTCTTATATCGGGGGTGACCTAGACGTGATCTGAATCGTAGTTCAGATTCAAGTTGGTTGGGGGGGAAAGGGCCTCTGTTGATGATCGGGTTTCTTTCAATAGAATATGGGGAAGGACGTTGCACACCCCCTCGGTACAACTTTCGTAAGTAACTCAGTGCAGTTTGCCTTGTAAAACGAAAATGAAATACGAACAACCGCGCTGGTCGTAATAGATCGACTTTCATGCTAGTTCTTGCTCCAGCATGAAAGTTCCATTTCAGGGAAGGACGACGTACTATGATACTTTCTGTTTTGTCGAGCCCTGCTTTGGTCTCTGGTTTGATGGTTGTACGTGCTAAAAATCCGGTACATTCCGTTTTGTTTCCCATCCCAGTCTTTCGCAACACTTCAGGTTTACTTATTTTGTTAGGTCTCGACTTCTTCGCTATGATCTTCCCAGTAGTTTATATAGGAGCTATAGCCGTTTTATTCCTATTCGTTGTTATGATGTTCCATATTCAAATAGCGGAGATTCACGAAGAAGTATTGCGCTATTTACCAGTGAGTGGTATTATTGGACTGATCTTTTGGTGGGAGATGTTCTTCATTTTAGATAATGAAAGCATTCCATTACTACCAACCCAAAGAAATACGACCTCTCTGAGATATACGGTTTATGCCGGAAAGGTACGAAGTTGGACTAATTTGGAAACATTGGGCAATTTACTTTATACCTACTATTTCGTCTGGTTTTTGGTTTCTAGTCTGATTTTATTAGTAGCCATGATTGGGGCTATAGTACTGACTATGCATAGGACTACTAAGGTGAAAAGACAGGATGTATTCCGACGAAATGCTATGGATTCTAGGCGGACTATAATGAGGAGGACGACAGACCCACTCACGATCTACTAAAAGGAAAGTAGCTTGATATTGGTTCGAATCCAATTCGTGGGATGGCCCTCTTGGTCATATAGATGCTTGACGCCTCCATTTGACTGATGCCATTAAGATGAGAGCGATGCAGCGGCAGAGGCGACATTAGCTGCGGGAGAAGCAACATCCCTTTCTTATGGCTAAGTAAGGCTTTTCCCTACTCATCATCTCTATCTCGAACCATGTTACCATTCGTTCCGAGTCGCCAAGAGCTAGAACAGCTTCTTCCCCCTCGGGAAGTAAGATAGCAGGAATAGTAGATCCACTACGCTTTGCGCCTCGTATTCCTTCTTTAAGGCCGGGAGCCGGGAACTCAAAAAGCATCTATCTGGATGGTGGTCACTCCTTGCCTACTTATCTTCCGATAAAACTTCCAACAACGTGCCATAAGGGCTAAAATCGCTTATTTTCAATAGCTGCGGTTCTTCCTGTATTGCTCCTCTTATGGAGATAGGGACTCTTCCTTTTGAGTTGAGTTTCCTCCCCTTTAACTTAACAACAACCAATATATTATTTAGAAAGAGTTTCTTTGTTTTTGCTAATCTATAAGGGGCTTCCATGCTTCTTTCCTTCCTAGCCGTCTATTTCAATCGAGAGAGTTCAACTCCCAGTCTCAGGTCAAATGCAGAAGAGACAGGAGCTTCTTCCCTCGGGTCGTATGGACAGGAGTAAGCAAAAGCCAGATCTGATTCAATAGGAACAGAACCTTCTACCCCGTCTGGTATTCAATTCACTAGCTTCGACCACTCTCACTCCCTTTCTTAAAGAGTCAAAGTGCTTAGAGGAAGAAGGGGAAGTCTGAAAAGACTGACAGATATCGATGAACTGGATGAAGTTTTAAAGAGCAGTCCCGGGCGGCCGAAGAAAGAGTCGTTAAGCCGAGAAAGCTAACAATTTGCCTTCTCATCCAAAATAAGGAAGGGAGTTTTCAAGGTGTTAAGAATCGATTGAAGCATCCCTGGACTTCTACTCGATAGAGTGATCGAATCGGGCGCTATGGACTTCAAAGCCTCGAGGGTTGTGCGATAACGCTCGTTCTCTCTTTCTTTTCCCACTACGCGCTAACTATAGATTGAATAATCGAAGCCAGATGAAATAGCATAAAGGAGTGGTTTGATCTAAATTTTTATCCTATTCATGTATCATAGATCGGCAGGGAGATTTTCATTCCTTGTCCACTCTTTTCCGAAAAACTGCAATTAGGAATAGAGAATCTATATCAAAGAAAGGTCTAACAGTTTCCATAATGATTTCCATTGTTATTTGATACATTTCGGTCAGTAACATTAGTGAATTAGGTGAAGATGCGGAAAGAGAGGGATTCGAACCCTCGGTAAACAAAAGCCTACATAGCAATTCCAATGCTACGCCTTAAACCGTGAAAGCCAACAAGCAACGGCTTCTAGTTTAGACTAGCGCTACAACGCTATTCATATAGTTCTTGTTGAAGCCGTTGTGCGTGAGTATTAGTCTAAAGACTAAAGCGTCTTCCTTGGTTATTTAGAAATTGTTTATTTGTTGTTGTGAAGTTTATAGGGTGTTGGAATTCTTTAAGGTCCGGAGGGGCTGAAGTCGACATGACCAGCGACGGAGAGCTTGTATTAGAAGGATCACTTGCTTCTTGCCTTATATTACTTAGTCAAGCAAGCTTTCGCGCTAGGCGCTCACCTTTTTTGTCTGGGTGGAAGCTGGCGGGCAGGGCTTGCTTACCCGGATACACGGAATTGGGATCTCTGTTGCATGCAAATCTTTCTATCGGGAAAGCCTCGCTTATTCAAATCAAAGGGCTTCTTATTTAGAACCCTTTTTTTTTTGCTCATAAGTAAGTAAGCGTTGGTAGGAACGGCGGGATGATGATGAGTATATAAATCAATAAAGACCAAAAAAGAATAAATGGCAAGATCCTTTTTATATCGATGGAGGAAATAACGATGTAGAGGAAAACAGGGCAGGGATTCTCTACAATGACACTGTTGTAGACCAATTGAAAGGGATGTAGCGCAGCTTGGTAGCGCCTTTGTTTTGGGTAAAAAATTTCACGGGTTCCAATCCTTTCATCCCTACCTATTCTTCTCCTCTGGGCAGTAACGAGGGATCCGTTGAGATCGATTCGGACATACATATTTTCATTTTATGAGACTAGATGCATGCAAGATGTATTGGTGGTACAAAAAGAATCCTTTTTCTTTACAGTCGTATCTACTGTGATAAGAAAGCGCTCTTAGTTCAGTTCGGTAGAACGTGGGTCTCCAAAACCCGATGTCGTAGGTTCAAATCCTACAGAGCGTGATTCCAAATCAACAGACCCTATTGCCGAGATATGGCAACTTTTTTTTAAAGTAAAAAGTCATAAGAAGTCGTCTAACTTAATTCACAAATGAAACTCAATTATTGTAGGAAAAAAAAATGGAAAAGCATTCAAAATGATTATTCAATTTCTTTTCTTTTCAATTGTATCGAATCCTTTTTCTATTTTACTTTAACTCATTAGATTCAGTAGTAGGTTTCTTAATTGCACATAATATCTCGAATAAGAAGAGAAAAAGTCTCGCACGATCGCTCGAAGAAATCAAACCTTTATTTCGGTCCAACTCGATTCTAAGACTAGTAATTCCTATGTTCTTTTCCTTTTAGGTTCTACATTTTTCTTTCAATATTATAGAGTCCCATCCTTTTGACTTAACAACAACAAAACAAGCAAGGGCTGACGCGAAAGAACAAGCAACGAGCAAGAAAACTCCTGCGCATCCGTTTTCTTGCTTAGCCGTGAAAGGTTTTGATTCGAGGCTTTTTCCTTGTTGACTGGAGCCCAAATAAGGCAATGAGAAAGCGTCCGTTCACGTCAGGGTCCGAAGGAGGCTTTGACTTTCATCGAGATTGGCCTGGTGTGAAGTGTACCGGCCCAATAGAAAGGAACGAGGGGAAGAATCGACGAGGAATCGATAAGACAATAGAAAGGAAGAAGGGGGAAAGGACAAAGGAAAGACCAATGTATACATTTCATCACTGGGGTAGAGAAAATCGGCTTAAAATTTTGAAGTTGATAGTGAACGATGTAAGCCTTTGTCCACTATTCGTTCCCCCTAGAACATAAGTGAATGAAAAAGCGTGAGGATAATTCTAAACTCGAGATGTTAGAAGGTGCGAAATCAATGGGTGCCGGAGCTGCTACAATTGCTTCAGCGGGAGCTGCTGTCGGTATTGGAAACGTCCTTAGTTCCTCGATTCATTCCGTGGCGCGAAATCCATCATTGGCTAAACAATTATTTGGTTATGCCATTTTGGGCTTTGCTCTAACCGAAGCTATTGCATCGTTTGCCCCAATGATGGCCTTTTTGATCTCATTCGTATTCCGATCGAAGAAAGAAGGAAGGAGGCTAGTCCCCGAAAATGCCTTTGGAAGTTGGGGTTCATAATATGACTTCAAAGACTGGTGTGAAGTCGTAACAAGGTAGCCGTAGGGGAACCTGTGGCTGGATTGAATCCTTATTTTATTTCGGTATGCCGCTCCGCGAGCAAGGAGCGAGAGAACCAAGTGGGCTGTGGTGATGTCAGAATTTGCACCTATTTGTATCTATTTAGTGATCAGTCCGCTAGTTTCTTTGATCCCACTCGGTGTTCCTTTTCCATTTTCTTCCAATAGTTCGACCTATCCAGAAAAATTGTCGGCCTACGAATGTGGTTTCGATCCTTCCGGTGATGCCAGAAGTCGTTTTGATATACGATTTTATCTTGTTTCAATTTTATTTATTATTCCTGATCCGGAAGTAACCTTTTCCTTTCCTTGGGCAGTATCTCTCAACAAGATTGATCCGTTTGGATCTTGGTCCATGATGGCCTTTTTATTGATTTTGACGATAGGATCTCTCTATGAATGGAAAAGGGGTGCTTCGGATCGGGAGTAACCACTAGTGATAGGGCAAAAATCGGGGGGAAGGACAAAGGAAAGAGCGATGCCTACATTAAATCAATTGATTCGTCATGGTAGAGAAGAAAAACGGCGCACGGACCGTACTCGAGCTTTGGATCAATGCCCCCAGAAGCAAGGAGTATGCCCGCGTGTTTCAACGAGAACACCGAAAAAACCTAATTCAGCTCCACGTAAGATAGCCAAAGTACGGTTGAGCAATCGACATGATATATTTGCTCACATTCCAGGCGAAGGTCATAATTTGCAGGAACATTCTATGGTCTTAATAAGAGGAGGTAGAGTGAAAGATTCGCCAGGTGTGAAATCCCATTGTATTCGAGGAGTCAAGGATTTGCTGGGAATTCCGGATCGAAGAAGAGGCAGATCAAAATATGGTGCGGAAAAACCCAAATCGAGATGAATGGAAGATGCCTATGGAACTCGGTCAGGAGAGGTTTATCCTTTGCCTCAAGGATGGCCTTTTTGATCTCATTCGTATTCTGATCGAAGAAGTTTCATTCAACCAACTATCTTTTTGAAGCAGATAGTTCACAGTGCTTCTTCTTTTTAGACTTGAAAAACGAAATATATGGACGATCTTTTTTCTGCCGTCTTGCCTTTTTTAAAGGAAGCTAGCGAACTTGTCGCGGTCCTACCACAAGGGCACCAGAATCCGCCACTCGAAGTGGTGGAAGGACCATCCACATTCAACGACTTACGTCGATTAGAAGTGGATCATCGACTGGTTATACCAGCCAACACCAATTTACGAAATATCGTAACGTCGGTCGGTATAGCTCATTCTGTGGCACCTTCTTCAGAAGGTGTGACTGTCTTGCCTCAAACGGGGCCCCCGGGAGGCCAGTCGGAGGCAGCAGAAACCGCATCTACGGGGCAAAACCGAGCCGTGGAGCAAGCTGGACCATCATCGCGGCAGTGGGAAACTAAATCACCCAGTAATCTGAATTCTTCGGATTTGCGATCTCTTGCCCGATGTTTTGAATCGCTTCCTGAGCCCGGCGATGAAGCTAGTTCGCTTCCTGTGGCCCAGGAGGCGTTGCCGCAGGCCCCCGCGCCAGCTCCCCACCCTGCTGTTCCCAATCCACCGGTTATTCCGCAGTTTCCCCCTTTGCTTTCTGATGGGGACCGCTTGGTCAAGCTCAGAGAGACCTTGCTTTTGTATACCCCCACTGACTTCGGAAGCTTCGAAAATAAATTGACCCTAGCCGTTCCGATAGAGAAAAGTGTGGAAGCTGCTTTACTGGAAGATGGATTCAATGCCGATCGTATCCGCCTGCAACTCAACGAAATACGAGGAGTGCTTTTCTGCCATCCAAAAAGGTCCTTTCTTCTATCTTTTGATACACTGGAACGCTATTTAAATGAGATACAAACAGAGGGGACGCGGAACAGCACTCCATATCGGAAGGTCATGCAAAAAATTAGTCGGTATAACATTGTATTGTGGTGACCGAGCGAAAGAGGGGGCCAGATTTGGGTTGGGGTATAGAGCCGTAAGCGCGGTGGGGGGTGACAGAGGACGTGCTCGTACGGTTCATATAAGGATATGATAAAGTACTTTTTTCTTGGGAACTTTCAGTCCTCTATATTCGAAATATGCCTTTCTAGGAGCATTACGATCTGCAGCTCAAATGGTCCCCTATGAAGTCTCTATTGGCCTTATTCTTATTGTGCGCCTTGTGAGCGCGTTTGGATCCGCGAAGGCAATCGCTCGGATGTTCCCCTAACCCAACCCGGAAACAGACCGGAGGGAACCGCAGCATGGGGAATGTCCGCGTCTCGTCGCAAGGCTCATTTTTAGTTGTGGGTCATAGGGCGGGCAGCTTTATCTGATCAAGGGCCGGGGCACAAGGGTCCTGGTACTATCCAGGTGCGAAGAACCCCGGATGTGACTGCAATGAGCAGAAATCTCACTCACGGGCCTAAACGACGAGAAAACAGTCGAACGTGAGAGCAAGGGATCACCTAACGAATGGACGAGCTCAAAGGGGGGAGGGAGGCAAGAACCATGCTTTCAGAGAAGTGGCGGTCCGAATCTTATCTGAACTGCGAGAATAACTGACTAAGCCGTGCCATAAGGGGTCATTCTCCAAACGGGACGGGGCCAAGCCTTTAGGTTGTTTAAGTAGGTTGGGTGACAGATCGGCCATAGGAGTACTCCGGGATATAAACCAGGGCAACAAAAGTGGAGCATACGACGATGCCGCCCGTTTTCATTTCGTGGAAGTCCCCGGCAGAGGAAAGGGCTGTAGGTGATGGCGCGTTCCTTATCTAGAGAGGGGCGGTTCAATCCTTTCTATTGGTTCGTGCGTGGCAGCTGGTATATGATGAAAGGCGGGCCGCTTTTTCGGGACCTATTCTCTTAATAGGCGGAAAAGCGAAATAGGAAAGGGGCCGAGCTGACTGATGAGTGTCTTTTTAGCCTTTAAAAGGCTCTCATGTGGAGCTAACATGGCAGGCTACATATAAGTATA